AGATGAGTGTCCTGGCCTGTAGATGAGTGTAAACTGTAGAGTCCTGGCCTATAGATGAGTGTAAATTGCAGAGTCCTGGCCTGCAGATGAGTGTAAACTGCAGAGTCCTGACCTGCAGATGAGTGTAAACTGCAGAGTCCTGACCTGTAAATGAGTGTAAACTGCAGAGTCCTGACCTGCAGATGAGTGTAAACTGCAGAGTCCTGACCCGATGAAGTAGCTTGTCTGTGCTGGCTCATTCTTTTGAACAGTAGCTGTTTTGTTTCCCCAGTGTATAACTGACCAAAGTCCTCCTGACACTTAACAGCGTACACTATATTACTCTGATTATAAATTTGCTTCAGTCATTTTATCTGTACGTCCGGTGATTACGGGAAGTCTTACTGTGAAGGGTTTTACCTGCTCGCTGATTCCCGTGCCTCCGTAAACACACACCACCCTCAGTCCCAGAGCTTTGGAGAACTTCTTGCACTCCTTCGTGATCTGTAAAGCCAACTCTCTGGTCGGAGTCATAATTACAGCTGTAAAAAGCAGGAATATGTCCTCACTTGTTTTGAACTTTAATGCTGGAGTGAATGGGTTATTTTATGTTTCTCAGACTTACAGATGGGTCCCTCAGATTCCTCCAGGGGTCTCTGGTCCATGATGTGTCGGAACATGGGCAACAGGAAAGCGATGGTTTTCCCACTTCCGGTCTTAGCGATGCCAATGAGGTCTCGACCCGACATGATGGCAGGGATGGCCTGAGCTTGGATCGGTGTGGGCTTCTCGTAGCCATGCCTGATTACATTTAAGGGAAAAACATCAACGTGTTGTTTTGGTCTTTAATTTGAAGGAATGGTGCATCACACGCAGGAGGAAAAAGAGTTAACTAAATAAAATACAATAGATTTAAATTATAAAGTGAGCAGTTTTCCTTTAAAATAATTGTTGACGAATACTCACTTCTTCAGGGAGGACAGGATCTTCATGGACACCCCACACTGGACCCAGGTCTTGATGGGTTTGGGACAACCCTTCCCTTTGACAGTAATCCCTTCCAGTTCCAGTCTGAATGAGTTTACTTCTGTTAGTGTAAAAAACAAAAATCGGAGCATCAAAGAAATGTTAGATGAGAAGAAGTTTTCTGGTTTAGCCGTTCATAAATAAACTGATAAAAACTAACAAATACCAGCCTCACTGTAAAATGAAGAATGAATAAAACCACATTTGCAGATGATGTACAGATTTACATGCCTTTTTTACATCATTTTATTTGGACAGAAAAATGCTGGAAGTGACCCTGATGCAATTCTTGGATCTTTATCTCCTTTTTACCAGACAGCTGTTAGAAATCTTGGTGTTGTTTTTGACAGCCGTTTGAAACTGGATAAGCAAGTGAATTCAGTTGTCAAATCAGGCTTTTTTATTTACGTCTTTTAGCCAAGGTGAAGTCCTATTTTTGTTTTAGAGATTTTGAGAAAATTACACATGCTTTCATCACAACACGTTTAGACTACTGTAATTCATTGTACAAGGACATAGATCAGTCCTCCCTACATCGTCTCCAAATGATTCAAAATGCTGGAGCCCGACTTTTAACTGGGGCATGGAAACATGAGCATCTAACAACTGTGTTGGCTTCATTATACTGGTTACCTGTAGCTCACAGAATTGATTTTAAGATTTTATTGTTAGTTTTTAAAGTTTTGAATGGCCTTGCTCCAACCTATCTACAAGATCTTTTGCATGTTCATTCTTCATCTAGAGCACTGAAGCCAAAAAACAGATGTTTTTAGATGTTCCAAGATCCAGATTTCGGAGTAGAGGTGATCGTGGTTTCACTGTGTCTGCTCCCAATCTATGGAACAACTTTTTCACATTAGATCTGCTCATAGCTTGGAAAACTTCAAAGTGCTTCTTAAGACTCACTTTTATTCAATGGTGTTTAATTAAAGTAGGGCCTGGCATTGTAATTTATCTGTTCTTACCATTGTTGGTTGTAATTATTAGGGGTGCAACGATACAGAAAATTCATGATTCGGTTCGATACTTTAGTCTCACGGTTGGATATTTTTTCAAAACAAAAAAGAGAAATGTCCATGCCCCTTCTTAACTTGTAATTTATTTAAATTAATTATGAACATTTGTTTAACCTCAAAAGTACAGTTTTTAAATTAAATGTTGCTGAAACAGCAAGTTTCTTAGTGGATCTGTGCTCAAAAATACAGCCTAGGTGGAGTAGTCGAACACAGATCCACTGATCCTTCAACACAGAGCATCTTCAGAAGACAAGTTGATAAAGTAAATTTTAAATATCTGTATTGTTCCATACAAGTGTGTGTTGAACGGTTCGATACGGGTACATGTATTGTTGCACCCCTAGTAATTTATTGTGTATTTTAGCAATTATTGTGGTTTTGTGATATTCGTGGATTACTGTGCAGCACTTTGGTGCAGCTATTAGCTGTTTTTAAAAGTGCTTTATAAATAAAGTTGATGTTGACACATGAGCAATAAATAAAAAAAAACATTTTTGCTCCCAAAACAAGAGTCACTGACCCTCTGGTGTCATCTTGGCCAGCTCAGGAACCTCCACATAGAAGTTTTTGCGGTACGACTCATATTGGATCTTCCCGTGGTCGACGGGCTCCAGAACTTTTCTCTGTTTGGTCTGGAAGCCTGTCAGAGCCGTCTGCAGGTCCACCTCCTCCTCCTCTGACGAGTACTGACAACACATAACAGTTTAAACAAACATCGGGGGAAAAACCCTGAACGAGTCACTGAATCATCACAGACGCACCTCCATGGCATCCTGGTCGTTCTCCATCAGCTCACCCTTCTTCTTGTGTGTGTGAGGCAACTTTTTAGTTTTAACAACCGTCACCACTTTAGTTACGGTCATTGCTCCTTTCTGTTCATAAAAACAATCGGGGATAAAACCATACAGATGATTTGTTAATATCTTTAGAGACTATAAAGGGGAAAAGGCAACAAACACAAACAGTAACAGCCTCACCTTGTCGTTTCCCTTCATTGCTCCGATGTTGAACTTCTTCACCTCCTGTTTGACTTCCTCCATGTAAGCATCCAGAGGATCCACTTCGTCCTCCTCGGCCTGCTGCTCCATGGGAGTCGTCTCTTCCTTCTCGCTTTCCTCTTTCTTCACCTCCTTTGCATCCTTCTCCTTGCCCTCCCCCTTTCCATCCGTTTCTTCGTCATCGTCAGCCTCCACCACAGCCGAAAAATCCTCGTCATCGTCTGGAACGAAGACAGTTTTAATCTGAAATATATATTTTACTGAGTTTTCTTTCCTGCACTGAAACATTTCAGTTTGCATCCTCACCGTCGTCGTCCTCAAGGCTCCATTTCTTGCCCTGCTTCATTTCCTCCAGCTCTTTCTTGATCTCCCCGATGTTTTCAATGGCCTTCTTCCTCTGCTCTTCCCTCCATTTCTCCACCCTCTCCTTCCTCTTCCTCATCTCCTCCTCCAGTTTGTTCTGGTCAAAGTCTTGCTGCAGAGACACAAACAAAAAGAAAATAAGATTTTTTTTACCTCAATCAGACAATTGTATAATAAAATGCTATAAACATCAGAAACAAAGAAAAAGGAAATAAACTCACATCTTCAACCTTCTCATCTTCTTTTTCCTCTTTAATCTTTTTGTCAGAAACAGGATGAAGGTTGTCTTTCTCTTTGCTCTTTGGCCTGTAAGTAAAAGAACAAAAAAAAAAAAGTTAATTTAATGTTTCTGCTAAATACATTTCTTTCCAAATAACTGCTTAATGACTCAATGTGTTTTTTGTGTTTATAAATCAAGGAAAAGATTCACTTTTCATCAGTTTTCTTGCTCTTCGCCGGGCTGGCAGTTCGAGACCTGCGTGTCCGATTCCTGCTCCCGGACCGTTTCCTGTCCCGGCTTCTGGACCTTCTTCGGTCTCTGCTCCTGGAACGCCTGGCCCCAGATGTGTGTGAACAAAACAAGACAAGAGGTAAATATCAATCAACATCACTTTGGTCCACATTTTGATGCTCTTTGTTTGAAATCCAAACAAGACTTTTGGAGAGAAAATTAACTTTTATTTTAGTTGTTTTCATTCACTCAACTTCCTGTGGGATTAAAACTAAAAATGTAATTWCAATAAAAACACTCATTGAATTAATATGTCAAACCAATCAATAACGAACATATTTTAAAGGTGATTAATCTGGTGATTAATATGCCAGAAAAAATGGTCTAAAAACCTTTACACCATTAAACTGTTTAACATTTTATTTTATATTATTTTATTTAGAAATTTATTCATTTCACCTGTAACAAAATGAAAGGTAGCAGAAGAAGAATAAATCTTGTATCTGCCTCTTTTTTATCC